CTGGAGTATAATGGTGCGATATCGGCTCACTGCAACCCCCACCTCCCGGGTTCAATGGATGCTTCTGCCTCAGCCTCCTGAGTAGCTGAGACTACAGGTGTGCGCCGCCCCGCCCAGCTATTTTTTGTATTTTTAGTAGAGACGGGTTTTCACCATCTTGGTCAGACTGGTCTGGTCTTGAACTCCTGACCTCGTGATCCACCCGTCTTGGCCTCTCAAAGTGCTGGGATTACAGGCATGAGCCACAGTGCCCCGCCTCCCCTATATGTGTTTAATAGATTAAAAATTTATGCCGCTGGGCCTGGTGGCTCACGCGAGTAATCCCAGCACTTCGAGAGACCGAGGCGGTCGGATCACGAGGTCAAGATTTCGAGACCAGCCAGGCCAACAAGGTGAAACCCCGTCTCTACTAAAAATGCAAAAAATTAGCCGGGCATGGTGGCGGGCGCCTGTAGTCCCAGCTACTTGGGAGGCTGAGGCAGGAGAATGGCGTGAACCCAGGAGGCAGAGGTTGCAGTGATCTGAGACTGTGCCACTGCACTCCAGCCTGGGCAACAGAGTGAGATTCAATGTCAAAACAACAACAACAACAACAAACAACGACAACAAAAAAGTTATCTTCTTGTGTCTAATTAAAAGATTTTCACATATGGTTTAAGGAAATAATTGATCTTTATTTTATCAGTATGGATATTCAGTTTTTAACACAATTTTTTGAAAAGATTATCTTCCGTTGTGTGCTCATGTCAATTTTGTGGGAGATTATTTGGCCATGTACAGAAGAGTTCATTTCTGGGCTCTACTCTCTTCTTTCATCTGTTTATCTGTCTTTGTGTGAGTACCACATTGTTTTTGTTATTGTTGCTTTTAATATGTTTCAAAATCAGAAGTTATAATGCCTCTTTGTATTTTTCGGTGGGTGGTTGGCTATAGTTCATAATAAAATTTTAACATCTCAAACAATATTTCTTTAAAAAACTACTATTGGGAGTTTTATAAAGATTATATTGAATTTGTCTGCCACTGTAGGTTGTATTGACATTTTTGAAACACTAAATTTTTTTATTCCTGAGAAAAAATATGTTGAAGAGTGTTTTATTTTAATGTATTTTTGGATTTTTCAGTTTTAATCTCCAGTTTAATATAGTTTTCATCAGAAAACACAAAGTGGATAATACTGATCTTCTTAAATTTATTTGTTTTTTTGTGTGTGTTTGTTGTTTTTGCTTGATGACAGGATCTTACTCTGTCACCCAGGCTGGAGTGTATTGGCATAATCTTGACTCACAGCAGCCTCAACCTACTGGGCTCAAGTTATCTTTCCACCTAAGCCTCTCAAGTAGTTGGGACTACAAAGTACCACGTCTAAATAATTATTTGATTATTTTGTAGGGATAGGGTCTCACTGTGTTGCCCACGCTGGCCAGAAACTTTTAGCTCTAAGTGGTCCTCACACATTGGTCTCTCTAAGTGTTGGGATTATGGGCATAAGCTATACCACCCACCTGGCATTCTTAAATTTAATAAAACTTAGTGTGTATCATAACAGAATACACCAGGTGCAAATAAGAATATTGTGTATTCCCTTGCTTTTGACTGAAAAGTTTTGTATGTGTCTGTTAAGCCTAGTTGGTCTACAATATGGTTTTGATGTTGATGTTACCCAAACCTTATGCTACAATTAATTCTAAATGTTAGATGTCGGACCTGGTAGGAGGTGTTTGGGTCATGGGGCAAAGTCTTTATGAATAGTTTGGCACCATCCTCTTGGTAATCAAAATGTGTATGCTTTATTAATTCAAATGAAAGCTGGTTTATTAGAAGAACCTGGCTCCTTCACCTCATACTTGCCCTGTCTGTTATCATGTGGTACGTACAATTAATCTTCACCTTCCACCATGATTGTAAGCTTGCTGACACTCTCACCAGAAGCAGATGCTGGCACACACTTTTTATACAATCTGCTGAATTGTGAGCCAAATAAACTTGCTTTTTTATAAATTATCCACTGTCAGGTATTCCTCTATATGCAGAATAATAAATACAGTGTATAGTGTTGTCTAGGTTTTCTGTTTTCTTATTCCTTTTTATATGAATCTTCTATTTATTATTGAAAATGGGATCTTGGTGTCTACAATTACCATTTTCATTCTGTTTTAAATATTCTGTGGAAGATCTTTCAGGGTTTTAAGCATCATCATTATGATAGTAAAGATTTCTGTATTTGTATATTTACATTTAATAGAGAGTTTTATTTTATATATGATTTTATGATACTGTCCAGTAGTTTTTTTTTAAACAAAACTGACTCGTGTTAGCATTTCTTATTGTTATATGCAGAGTCTCACGTTACTCAGGCTGATCTGAAACTCCTGGTTTCTAGTGTTCTAACAGACTTGCCTCCTAAAACTGTAGGATTACAGGCATGAGTCCACGGACCCTGGACACCATGTAGCACTTTTTTATAGAACTGTGCTAGTGGTGATGAGCATTCTCACTTTTTATTTTGGAAATTTTTTATTTTCATCTTCTTTTTAAAGTGAAATAAATTTAAATCAAGTATTATTGGTTAGAGTTTTTTTTTTCTTTTGTTACATCAAAATTTGGGAAGTTCTCACCCTTTTTTATTTTCAAGTAACCTCTGTATTATTTTTTTCCATATTCTTCTAAGATTTTCTTAATATGTTAATCTAGTTGATGGTATCTAATAAGGTTCACATTCCATGTTTTAATTTGGTTTTGCAATTTTGTATTTTTGTGTTTTATATTTTAGGGTATGCCACCACACATCTATATATGCTTTGATATTTTAGTATAATAATTGTGCATGCCAATATGTAACTTTATGCAATTCAAGACAATCTGGAGCAAAATCAAATATGATTGAGCCATATGTCTTTTTCCAATAGAATTATCTCTATTTTTGTTTGCCAGTATAAATGTTATCTTTGTATTTTTTATAACTTGTGTATTTGTTGTGTAGGTTTGTTGTGAATGATTTTCTAATCCTGTGTAGCTCAGTAGTCATAACATTCTTACAATTTCAACATCCTATTTATTTATGAATCTATATTTTTTTTGTGGGAGAAACACTTTTAAATGTGAATATAATTTAAAACTATCATAACTCTATACATCTTTTAGTTATTATTATTTTTACTTGTCAAAAACAAAATTTACCACAAAATATATTTAAATATGTAGTCTTATTAATCATCTTGAAATTTTCATGCAACATTTTGCTAAAATGTTTTTATCTTGAAAGCTAAATGTTAATACATATTAACTACCAAATTTTTTTTTTTTTTTTCTTGAGACGGAATTTTGCTCTTTTTGCCCAGGCTGGAGTGCAATGGCACGATCTTGGCTCACCGCAACCTCCACCTCCCGGGTTCAAGCGATTCTCCTGCCTCAGCCTTTTGAGTAGCTGGGATTACAGGCATGTGCCACCACACACAGCTAATTTTGTATTTTTAGTAGAGAAGAGTTTTCTCCATGTTGGTCAGGCTGGTCTCGAACTCCTGACCTCATGATCTGCCTCAGCCTCCCAAGTAGCTGGGATTACAGGCACATGCCACCACACCTGGCTAATTTTTGTAGTTTTAGTAGAGACGGGGTTTCACAATGTTGGCCAGGCTTGTCTCGAACTCCTGACCTTAGGTGATCTGTCCGCCTTGGCCTCCCAAAGTGCCTAAAATACAGGTGTCAGCCACCATGCCTGGCCTGGCACATCAGTTTTATTTTGCAGCTTCAAAGATTTTTTTTTTTTGTCTGTGACTTTTGAAATCGTGCTTATATATGTGTTTATTATAAATATCTTTCTGTGATCCTAGTTTGTTGAGCTTCTTTATATTTACATCATTTTTTCTTACTTTTAGGATCAGTTTTTATATTTTTACCTCCACAATTTCTGTTTTTTTGAAATCTTAAATATTTTTGTTCTCATCCTCATTTTTCTGATTCTCTGTAGTTGTCTCTGTTCCTATTTTAATCAGTAGTATTCAATTTATTATCAATTCTTAAAATTAATGTAGATATCTTTTTATGGTTTCTTTCTGAAAATTTTATATTTTTGGTGGAATCATATTGCCCTATTTTGTATATATTATAATCTTTGATTGAGATGTGGACATCAAAAAAAGCTACCTGTCAAAGTCTTTATAATGTAGTTTTGTCCTGGCATAGTCTGAAAACAACTATCTTGTCTAATGATTAGGGGAATTTCTCCAATATGTTCTTAGGGTATGTGTTGTCTGAAATTTTGTGTTTATTTTTAATTAAGAGGGTTTACTCATGTTACTTTGTAGGAGTCAGTCGTCACTTGCTATGCCTGTTTCCTTTCTGTGGTACTGTGGTCTCTCTGCTGCTGTAACATTTTTCTTTGGTTTCAGCACTCAAACTGTCATTCCCAATTATGCCATGGTTTCTCTCAACACTTTATGTCATAAGAGACAGAAACTAGTGTCAGGAAAAGCCCCTAAAAGCTAGAAATAAAAATGAATGGGCTAGTATTTTACCTTTCTTTTAAAACAGAAACCAAGAGTTGGCAATTTACCTCTAAAGGCACTCTATTATAATGGAAAGCAGGAAAAGCTGTGTCGGGTAAATTTAACAGATTTCTTTTTTTTTCTGTGTGGTTTTTTGCATTGTGCTCACCCAAGACACTGCACACACTTATTAATATAGACGTAATTTGATCTGTATGTTTTTGTTACATATATATGCCTATGAAAGAATTAAGGCCTGTGCAAGAGAATGGCATGAACCCTGGAGGCGGGGCTTGCAGTGAGATGAGATCGCACCACTGCACTTCAGCCTGGGCGACAGAGTGAGACTCATCTCAAAAAAATAAATAAATAAATAAAAAGACTTAGGGCCTGTGGTATTTTGCAGTGCTATTTTGTTTATGTAGTTTGTGTAATTTTATAGGTAAGATTTTTAAACTGTATTCATTTGAGTCCAGTCAGTGGAGTAATTTATTATTTTTAATTTTTTTTCAGATATATGTCCTCATTTTGCTCAAGACTTTTGGCCAGAGCAGGGCATGGAAGATTCTTTTCAAAAAGTATTACTGAGAAAATATGAAAAATGTGGACATGAGAATTTACAGTTAAGAAAAAGTTGTAAAAGTGTGGATGAGTGTAAGGTGCACAGAGAAGGTTATAGTAAACTTAACCAGTGTTTCACAACTACCCAGAGCAAAGTATTTCAATGTGGTAAATATTTGAAAGTCTTTTATAAATTTTTAAATTCAAACAGACATACGATAAGTATTACAGAGAAGTCCTACAAATGTAAAGAATGTGAAAAAACCTTTCATTGGTCCTCAACCCTTACTAATCATAAGAAAATTCATACTGAAGATAAACCCTACAAATGTGAAGAATGTGGCAAATCTTTTAAGCAACTCTCAACCCTTATTACGCATAAAATAATCTGTGCTGAAGAGAAAATCTACAAGTGTGAAGAGTGTGGCAAAACTTTTAATCAGTCCTCAAATCTGACTACACATAAGATAATTCATTCTGGACAGAAACCTTACAAGTGTGAACAATGTGGCAAAGCATTTATCTGGCTCTCAACCCTTACTGGGCATAAGAAAATTCATACTAGAGGAAAACCTTGCAAGTATGAAGAATGTGGCAAAGCATTTGTTTGCTCCCCAACCCTAACTAGACGTAAGAGGATACACACTGAAGAGAAACTCTACAAATGTGAAGAATGTGGCAAAGCATTTCTATGGTCCTCAACCCTAACTAGACATAAGAGGATACACACTGGAGAGAAACCCTACAAATGTGAAGAATGTGGCAAAGCTTTTAGGCAATCCTCAACCCTTACTAAACATAAGAGGGTACACACTGGAGAGAAACCCTACAAATGTGAAGAATGTGGCAAAGCTTTTAGGCAGTCCTTAACCCTTACTAAACATAAGATAATTCATAGTGGAGAGAAACACTACAAATGTAAAGAATGTGGCAAAACTTTTAAGCAATTCTCAACCCTTACTACACATAAAATAATTCATGCTGGAAAGAAATGCTACAAATGTGAAGAATGTGGCAAAGCTTTTAATCAATCCTCAAGTCTTTCCACACATAAGATAATTCATACTGGGGAGAAGTCTTACAAGTGTGAAGAATGTGGCAAAGCATTTATATGGTCCTCAACCCTAACTAGACATAAGAGGATACATACTGGAGAGAAGCCCTGCAAATGTGAAGAATGTGGCAAAGCTTTTAGCCATTCCTCAACCCTTGCTAAACATAAGAGAATTCATACTGGAGAGAAACCCTACAAATGTAAAGAATGTGGCAAAGCTTTTAGCAATTCCTCAACCCTTACTAATCATAAGATAACTCATACTGAAGAGAAACCCTACAAATGTAAAGAATGTGGCAAAGCTTTTAAGCGACTCTCAACCCTTACAAAACATAAAATAATACATGCTGGAGAGAAACTCTACAAATGTGAAGAATGTGACAAAGCTTTTAATCGATCTTCAAATCTTACTGCACATAAGATAATTCATACTGGAGAGAAACCTTACAAGTGTGAAGAATGTGGCAAAGCATTTATCTGGTCCTCAAGCCTTACTAAACATAAAAGAATTCATACTAGAGAGAAACTCTTCAAATGTAAAGAATGTGACAAAGCATTTATATGGTCTTCAACCCTAACTAGACATAAAAGGATACACACTGGAGAGAAGCCCTACAAATGTGAAGAATGTGGCAAAGCTTTTAACCATTCCTCAACCCTTACTAAACATAAGACAATTCATACTGGAGAGAAACCCTACAAATGTAAAGAATGTGGCAAAGCTTTTAAGATTCCCTCAACCCTTGCTAAACATAAAATAATATATGCTGGAGAGAAACTCTACAAATGTGAAGAATGTGGCAAAGCTTTAAATCAATCTTCTAATCTTACTACACATAAGGTAATTAATACTAAAGAGAAACCTTACAAGAATGAAGAATGTGGCAAAGCATTTGTCTGGTCCTCAACCCTTACTGAACATAAGAGAATTCATACCAGAGAGAAACCCTACAAATGTGGAGAATGTGGCAGAGCATTTAGCCAACCCTCACACCTCACTACACATAAGAGGATGCACACTGGAGAGAAACCCTACAAATGTGAAGAATGTGGCAAAGCTTTTAGCCAATCCTCAACCCTTACTACACATAAGATAATTCATACTGGAGAGAAACCCTACAAATGTGAAGAATGTGGCAAAGCTTTTAGGAAATCTTCAACTCTTACTGAACATAAGATAATTCATACTGGAGAGAAGCCCTACAAATGTGAAGAATGTGGCAAAGCCTTTAGCCAATCCTCAACCCTAACTAGACATAAGAGGATGCACACTGGGGAGAAACCCTACAAATGTGAAGAATGTGGCAAAGCTTTTAATCGATCCTCAAAGCTTACTACACATAAGATAATTCATACTGGAGAGAAACCTTACAAGTGTGAAGAATGTGGCAAAGCATTTATATCATCCTCAACCCTTACTGGACATAAGAGAATTCATACTAGAGAGAAACCCTACAAATGTGAAGAATGTGGCAAAGCATTTAGCCAATCCTCAACCCTAACTAGACATAAGAGGATGCACACTGGAGAGAAACCCTACAAATGTGAAGAATGTGGCAAAGCCTTTAAAGAGTCCTCAGCTCTTACTAAACATAAGATAATTCACACTGGAGAGAAACCCTACAAATGTGAAAAATGTGGCAAAGCCTTTAACCAGTCTTCAATCCTTACTAACCATAAGAAAATTCATACTAGAGAGAAACCCTACACATGTAAAGAATGTGGGAAATCTTTTAACCGGTCCTCAACCTTTACTAAACATAAGGTAATTCATACTGGAGTAAAACTCTACAAATGTGAAGAATGTGGCAAATCCTTTTTCTGGTCCTCAGCCCTAATCAGACATAAGAAAATTCATACTGGACAGCAACCCTACAAACAGGAAAAATTTGGCAAAACATTTAACCAGTTTTCACACCTTACTACAGATAAGATAACTCGTATTGGAGACAAATCTTACAAGTGTGAATAATGTGGTAAAAGTCTATAAAAAGTCCTGAATTCTTAACAGACGCAAGATTATTCATACTGGAGAGAAACTCTACAAACCTGAAAGATGTGCCAGTGCTTTTGACAACTCAAACTTCCCTAAACATCAAGAAAATCATACTACTGAGAAATCCTAGAAATGTGAAGAATACGACAAAGCATCTAAATGATTGTCACACTTTATTGTAGGTAAGATAATTCATACTGGAGAAAACTACCAGTGTGAACAATGTGGCCAAACTTTGAACCAATGCTCACACCTTAATGAACAGGAAAGCATTTATATTTGAAAAAAAGTGTACAAATATAGACAAAGTAAAAATGCCATTAATACATGCTCACATCTTACTCACAATCAGAGCGTTCATACTAAATAAAAACATTAGAAGTGTAATTACTGTCAAAAGATCGATCAGAAAATATGTCTTTAAAGTAAGAAGAGTATTTTGAAAAAGCATTACAAATATGAAGAGGCATTATTTATGACCTTTTCTATGGAAAGGTAAGGACATTAAAATGTAAGATGCATGATGAAAACTTAAGTAGAGAGGATCTTTGTGGTTAACTTGTAATATTGAGTGACGCATGAGGTAGGTGTTCAGATTAGTATTCTTCTGCATTATTATGAAAGGAAAACATTCTTAATTTTAGTTAAAATTTAGTATGATTGTATTTTTATGAAATATTGCAGTATATTTTAAAATTATAAATTACATGTGAACTTAACTTTTCAACTCAACATTTTTAACATGTTAAATACTATAGTGAATTCAATGAAGTGTTATTATGCCTCTAACTTTAACCTATTCCACCTTACTCAAGGGTGTAAGTAAAAGATGGTAAAAATATACTGTTTGGTAAGATAAATGGATTGACATCTCTTGTAATCTTTTTTGCCAGTGACTTAATTGCCATTAAGTTAAAGAATATTGTTCCTTTAGGTTAAATTTTTATTTTTATTTTCACATTGAAATGTATTCTTAATTTTTGTGGATACCTAATATGTGTACATATTTATGCCCTATATGGTATATTTTGATACAGGCATACAAAATATAACCATTACATTAGACTAAATGCAGTCTCCATTACCTCTAGCGTTTATTCTTTGTATTACAAACAATTCATTTCTACAGTTTTAGTTATTTTTAAATGTACAATTAAATTATTATTGACTACAGGATTATTTTTATGGTCATAATAAAAATTATATACAAACATAAGTAAAATACATACATTTCTGAGTCCCGAATAAATCTTTAAAAAATTTTTAATATATTTTTCTTTGAACATGTGGCCTCTGCCTGCAAGAACATATGGACTGTTAGTATTGATTTACATTGAGTTAAAAATACACATCTATTAGTCTAAAGATGAATCTTAGGTGTAAATAAATTCTGGAGTGTGTTTGAGTATAAGTTTGAAACTATAGGAGAAAAAAAGCAATACTGGAACAATAAATCATTTTAAGAAGGTGTCTAATTTACTAGAAAACAAAAATTCTCAAAAATGCTGAAAGCAAATTTATGCTGTCTGCTTTGTATTGAATTTATTACTGTACAATCTTTTGGTTCAGAATCTCCCCATGCAAATTCTCTGTTTTAACTTGACCGGCACTCATGATGAACCCTAATTTTCTTTTTTGTTTAATAGGTTTTTTTTTTAATTTTTGTTTTTGTTGTTTGTTTGTTTGTTTTTGAGACAGAGTCTTAATCCATCTCCCAGGCTAGAGTGCAATGGTGCAGTCTGGGCTCACTGCAACCTCTGCCTTTCAGGTTCAAGCAATTCCCCTGCCTCAGCCTCCTGAGTAGCTGAGATTACAGGCACGTGCCACCATGCCCGGCTAATTTTTGTATTTTTAGTAGAAACGGGGTTTCACCATTTTGGTCAGGCTGGTCTCAAATTCCTGACCTCATGATCAACCCGTCTCAGCCTCCCAAAGTGCTGGGATTACAGGCGTGAGCCACCTCACCTGGGCTAATTTTTGTATTTTTAGTAGAGACAAGGTTTCACCATGTTGGTTAAACTGGTCTCCAAAGCGTGACCTCAGGTGATCACTCACTTCGGCCTCCCAAAGTGCTGGGATTACAGGCATGAGGTACCAGGCCTGGCCTGTGTAATAGTTTATGAAGAATTCATTATGTGAGCCTGTCTGTAATTATAAGAATAATTTTTTTTAAATTTTATTGTTCCATAAGTTACTTACGTACAGGTGGTATTTGGTTAGTTGAGTAAGTTCTTTAGTGGTGATTTGTGAGATCCTGGTGCACCCAAGCAGTATACACTGCACCATATATGTTGTATTTTATCCCTTCCCCTTTCACTCTTACCCCCAAGTACCCAAAGTCCATTGTATTATTCTTATGCCTTTGCATCCTCATAGCATACCTCCGACATATCAGTGAGAACATATGATATTTGTTTTACCATTAGAATAATAGTCTCCAGTCTTATCCACGACATTGCAAATGCTGTTAATTCATTCCTTTTTATTGTTGAGTAGTATTCCAACATATATATATATAATTATAATTCCAACATATATATGTGTGTACGTGTGTGTATATACATATACACATTATACCTACTATATATATATATGTACACACGCATACACATACACAGACACATATGTATGTATCTCACAGATTCTTTACCCACCTGTTAATTCATGGGCGTTTCAGTTGGTTCCATGATTTTACAGTTGTGAATTGTGCTGCTAGAAACACGCATGTGCAAGTACCTTTTTCAAATAATGACTTCTTTTTCTCTGGGTAGATACTCAGTAGTGGGATTGCTGGGTCAAATGGTAGTTCTACTTTTAGTTGTTTACAGAATCTCCACACTGTTTTCCATATGTATTTATATGTTTTCTATAGTGGCTGTACTAGTTTACATTCCCACCAGAACATGGATGTGTTCTCTGATTGCCACATCCACGCCAACATCTACAGTTGTTTGATCTTTTGACTGTGGCTATTCTTGCAGGAATAAGGTGGTATCGCACTGTGGATTTGATTTGCATTTCTTTGATCATTAGTGATGTTAACCACTTTTTATATGTTTGTTGCCCATCTTCTTTTGAGGATTTTCTATTCATGTCCTTACCCCACTTTTTGATGGGGTTGTTTTTATTCTCTTTTTTCCTTACTGATTTGTTTGAGTTTGTTTTAGATTCTGGATATTAATCCTTTGTCAGAGGTATAATTGAGTTTGTTGTAGATTCTGGATATTAATCCATTGTCAGGTGTATAGATTGTGCAGATTTTCTCCCACTGTGTGAGTTGTCTGTTTACTCTGCTGACTGTTCCTTTTGCCATGCAAAAAGCTCTTTAATTAGGTCCCAGCTGTTTATCTTTGTTTTTATTGCATTTGCTTTTTGGTTTTTGGTAATGAAATTTTTGCCTAGCCAATGCCTAGAAAGGTTTTTCCGATTTTATCTTCCAGAATTTTTATAGTTTCTGGTCTTAGGTTTAAGTCCTTAATCCATCTTGAGTTTATTCTTTTATAAGGTGAGAGATGAGGATCCAGTTTCATTCTCCTACATGTGGCTAGCCAGTTATCCCAGAACCATTTGTTAAAAGGGTGTACTTTCCCCACTTTTATGTTTTTGTTTGCTTTTTTGAAAATCACTTGGCTGTAATTATTTGGGTTTATTTCTGGGTTCTCTGTTCCATTGGTCTATGTGCCAATTTTTATACCAGTACCATGTTCTTTTGGTTACTATGGCCTATATAGTTTGTAATCAGGTAGTGTGGTGCCTCCAGATTTGTTCTTTTTGCTTAGTCTTGCTTTGGCTATGCAGGCTCTTTTTTGGTTCTATATGAATTTTGGTTCTATATGAATTTTAGTATTGCTTTTTCTAACTCTGTCAAGAATGATGGTGGTATTTTGACGGGGATTGTGTTGAATTTATAGATTGCTTTTGGCAGTATGGTCATTTTCACAAATTATTCTGCCTATGCTTGAGCATGGGGTGTGTTTCCATTTGTTCGTGTTGTCTATGATTTCTTTCAGCAGTGTTTTGTAATTTTCCTTTTACAGGTCTTTCGACTTCATCAGGTATATTCATTTAATTTTTTTATGCTATTGTAAAAGAGGTTGAGTTCTTGATTTAATTCTCTGTTTGGTTGCTGTTGGTGAATAGAAGAGCTACTGAGTTGTGTACATTAATCTTGTATCCAGAAACTTTGCTGAATTGTTTTATCAGTTCTAGGAGCTTTCTGGAAGAGTCCTTACGGTTTTCAAGGTAAATGATCATATCATCAGCAAATGGACAGTTTGACTTCCTGTTTACTGATTTGAATGCCCTTTATTTCTTTCTCTTGTCTGATGGCTCTGGCTAGGACTTCCATGGCTCTGTTGAAGAAGAGTGGTGAGAGTGGACATCCTTGTCTTGTTCCCATTGTCAAAGGAAATGGTTTCAACTTTTTTCTATTCAGTATTATGTTGGCTGTGGGTTTGTCATAGATAGCTTTTATTTTTACATTAAGCTGTGTCCCTGGTATGCCAACTTTACTGAGAGGTTTAATCATAAAGTGATGCTAAATTTTGTCAAATTTTTTTTCTGCGTCTATTCAGATGAGCATGTGGTTTTTGTTTTCAATTCTATTTATGTGGTATATCACATTTGTTGACTTGTGTGTGTTAAACCATCCCTGCATACCTGGTATGAAATCAGCATGATCATGATGGATTATCTTTTTGACATGTTGTTGGATATGGTTAGCTAGTGTTTTGTTAAGAATATTAGCATCAATATTTATCAAGGATATTGGTCTGTAGTGTTCTTTTTTGGTTGTATCTTTTCCTGGTTTTGGTATTAGGGTGATGCTGACCTCATAGAATGAATTAGGGAGGGGTCCTCCTTTCTCTATCTTGTGGAATAGTGTCAAGAGGATTGGTACTAATTTGAATATCTGGTAGAATTCTGCTGTGAATCCATCTGGTCCTGGACTTTTTTTGTTGGTAATTTTTAAATTAACCACTTTAATCTCACTGCTTGTTATTGGTCTGTTCAGGGTGTCTAATTCTTCCTGATTTAAGCTAGCAGGGTTGTATTTTTCCAGGAATTTTTTCATCTCTTCTAGGTTTTCTAGTTTATGTGTGTAAACGTGTTCATAGTAGCCTTGAATTATTTTTTTGTATTTCAGTGGTGTCAGTTATAATGTCTCCTGTTTCATTTCTCAGTGAGATTATTTGGATTTTCTCTCTTTTCTTGGTTAATCTTGCTAATGGTCTATCAATTTTATTGATCTTTTCAAATAAGCAGCTTTTTGTTTCATTTACCTTTTGTATTTTTTTGTTTCAATTTTATTTTGTTCTGTTCTGATCTTGGTTATTTTCTTTTTTTCTGTTGGGTTTGGGTTTGGTTTGTTCTTGTTTCTCTAGTTCCTTGAGGTGTGACCTTAGATGGTCCGTTTTTGCTTTCAGACTTTTTTATGTAGGCATTTAGGGCTATGAATTTTCGTCTTAGTATCACCTTAGCTGTATCCCAGAGGTTTTGATAGATTGTGTCATTATTGTCACTCAGTTTGAAGAATTTTTTAATTTCTATATTGATTTTGTTTTTTGCCCCAGTGCTCATTCAGGAGCAGGTTATTTAATTTCCATGAATTTGCGTGGTTTTGAAGATCCCTGTGGGAGTTGATTTCCAATTTTATTCCACTGTGGTCTGAAAGAGTGCTTGACATAATTTCAATTGTCTTAAATTTGTTGAGGATCATTTTATGGCCTATCATATGATCTATCTTGGAGAAAGTTCCATGCACTGTTGAGTAGAATGTGTGTTCTGCAGTTGTTGGATAAAATGTTTTGTACGTATCTATTAAGTCCATTTGTTCCTGGGTATAGTTTAAATCCATTGTTTCTTTGTTGACTTTGTGTCTTGATGACCTGTCTAATGCTGTCAGTGGAGTATCAAAGTTTGCCACTATTATGGTGTTGCTGTCTATCTCGTTTCTTAGGTCTGTTAGTAATTGTTTTATAAATTTGGGTGTTCCAGCGTTAGATGAATACATGTTTAGGATTGTGATGTTTTTCTGTTGGACCAGGCCATTTACCATTACATAATGTCCCTCTTTGTCTCTTTTAATCACTGTTACTTTAAAGTTTGTTTTGTCTGGCATAAGAGTAGATACCCCTGCTTGCTTTTGGTATCCATTTGCATGAAATGCCTTTTTCCACCCCTTTAAGTTTATTTGGGTCCTTATGTGTT